AGAGCGCCAGAATGTGCGTTCACGTGCACGCTGATGTGGGTGGGGCCTATGTATGTTTATTGTGCAGCAACCCAACAGCCCCTGCAGAGGATACAGCGATAAATGCCAACAAATGCACAGTGTGGTGTCTATCACAGGGCTCCGTGTGTGCGTATATACAGAATGCATTACAATGAGGGTCTCCTCCAGGGTCCAACACTATAGGGATCGTTATCACGTTCCAGTAATATGAGGGTCTCCTCCAGGTTCCAGTAACATGAGGGTCTCCTCCAGGTTCCAGTAACATGAGGGTCTCCTCCAGGTTCCAGTAACATGAGGGTCTCCTCCAGGTTCCAGTAACATGAGGGTCTCCTCCAGGTTCCAGTAACATGAGAGTCCCCTCCAGGGTCCAATATGTGGATCTCTATCAGGTTCCAGTAATATGTGGATCTCCTCCAGGTTCCAGTAATATGAGGGTCTCCTCCAGGTTCCAGTAATATGAAGGTCTCCTCCAGGTTCCAATAATATGAGAGTCCCCTCCAGGGTCTAATATTATGTGGATCTCTATCAGGTTCCAGTAATATGAGGGTCTCCCCCAGGTTCCAGTAATATGAGGGTCTACTCCAGGTTCCAGTAATATGAGGGTCCCCTCCAGGTTCCAATAATATGAGGGTTCCAGTAATATGAGGGTCTCCTCCAGGTTCCAGTAATATGAGGGTCTCCATCAGGTTGTGTTTTAAAAGAACACCACCATGTTCCGTTATAATTAGGGTCTCCATAATGTTCCAATATTATGAGGGTCTCTTTTGGATTCCCTTATGTGGACCTCTTTCAGGGTCCATTCTTATGAGGGTCTCCCATTAGGTTGTGTTGTTAGGAGGATGTCTATCAGGTTTCAGTATTATGTGGTTCTCCATCAGGATCTGATATTTGGAGGGTCTCCCTCAGGTTCTGTTATTGTGTGGATCACCATCAGGTCTTATTATGAGGGTCTCCATTCTCTCGGAGTGGCTCACCTTAACATGGGTGGTCAGTAGGAGAAATGCTAATTTATGTTGCTGGTCAGTAGAAGGAAGAATGGTGGCTTACCTCGGTGGTCCATCGAAGGAAGAATGTTCCCTTAGATATGTGGTCAGTTGGAAGAACGCCTCTTTAAATGTATGATCATTAGAAGGAAGAATGCCCTCGTACGTCGGTGGTCAGTAGGAGGATGTAGAATGGCAGGGCAGCAGAGTGAATGCTGACCTGGGCCCTGTCTGGTAGGTTTAGTAACAAGGGACTCCCTGTGGTGGTTTCATCGGTGATGGAGCAATGGGGACGCTCTTCCTAACAGTGAGGGACCAATACAAGGAGCTAGTGGAGTATTTCCTTCAATCCTCATGATGATCCTGTCCCTTGCCAGTGAACAGTACCGCTAGTGTGACCTATCCCTAACACACACAAATATGTCTACACATACACACCAAACACATACAAAACACCCCCCCCCCCCCCCACACACACACACACCTGTCCCTGTGACCACACAGGAAGTACATAGGTAATAATTTGGAGGGGCTGAAAATGAAATGGGGTGTGTGCAGTGTGCTACAGGCCGGTTACATAGGGGTGTGGCAAACAGTGGGCGTGGTGATATGGGTGTGGCGTCACCGAATGGCTGGTGGTGTCAGACCTATACCTCTACGCTTTGCTTCATTTTAGACAAATTAAGGCCTGGCGGGACACTGAAGAGAGCAGGAGAAAGATGAGCCCCATTGTTGGTGTCACTGAAAGTGAAATCGATCCCGAGTCCTTTGGGACAGAGGCTGTAGACCTCCTCAACCAGAGGAAGCTGTGCACTGTACAGACACAGACACGAGGAGACACCGACATCATCACCCGATATTACACGGTGGAATCTAACCGATCAGAGAGTACACCGATCATCTCCTCCAGGAAGCTCCATCCATAGAAGAAGAATACCCACTTGTCTTCGGAGGATTTGCACCCTTTCCTGACCAGGCCGGTTTAGGCTCTATGCCACTCAGTTACTTTAACTGACAATTGCGCGGTCATGCAACACTGCACCCAAATGACATTCATGTCCTTTCCCCCCCCACAAACGGAGCTTTCTTTTGGTGGTATTTGATCACGTCAGCGGGTTTTGAAAATTTTTGCACTATAAACAAAAAAAAAAAGACAATTTTGAAACAAGGGCGGAGAATAGTCATTGTCGTTAGGAAAAGTGTTTGTTACCGAAGATTCTCTCTGCGAATCTCCTGCTGGTCTGTAATTCCGACTCCACATTTCTGTCACTTTGTAGAGGGTGACACCATATTGTAAGGCTGCAATGCTGACTGATTGCTGGGAGTTTTCTAGACAACCCCCCCATGTGAGGGGCGGCCCGCACAGACAAAGCGACGTACTGATGTGTTGCCGCCTTCTGTACAGGGGTGGACTGGCAACTCATGGGGCCCCCAGCAATAGGGGATCATGGGGCCCCTGTGTCCTTGTCCAAACTCATAAAAGCCTATGAAAAAGGTACCAGGGGCATCTCATGGGGCCCCTACTGACCCCGGGCCCTCGGGCAGTGCCCGAGTTTCCAAATGGTCAGTCCGCCCCTACTTCTGGGTATAGAGTGCACACAGCAGGAATCTGTCAACCAATAATTTACGGCCGGGATCTGCTGGTAGGCTGTGTCCAATCACAGCCCAGAGCCCTGTGTTGACAAGTAACACAGAGCTCTCTACAGAGGGAATGATCTGTGCAGGGATGACAAACAGGTCTATTAGTAAAAGCAGCACACAGTTAACCCCTTGATCACCCCTAAATGTTAACTCTTTCCCAGCCAGTGTCATTAGCACACTGACCGTGTATAGTATGATCAATGATCAGTCTATTAGTGTCACTGGAGATGTCAGTGGCCATTAGTCAGTTTCTTCCCAGTGTCAGCGTCAGATTGACCGCCACGCTATCACAGTCCCATTATAAATCACTGATTACCGCTATTACTAGTATAAAAATTCCAGTATATATCCCATCCACTGCAGACACTATAACTTTCATGCAAACTAATCAATATACACTTTTTGGGATTTTGTTTTAATCAAAGACGTGTAGCAGACTACATTTTGGTCTAAATTTATGAAAAAAAAATTAGATTTTTTAAAAAATCTTGATTTGTTTTATAACAGAAAGTAAAAAATATTTTCTTTTCAAAAATGTTGGGTCTGCTTTCATTTATATAACAAAAAAATAAAAACCTCAGTGGTGACTAAATACCATAAAAAAGCCATTTGTGTGAAAAAAAAAGATAGAAACGTAATTTGGGTACAGCATTACATTCCCATTAAAAGTAGCGCAGTGCTAAATAGCAAAAAGCCAGGTCACAAAGTTGGTAAACCCTTTTGGAGCTGAAGTGGTTAATGCTGATGCAGCCGGTGATGTATGACCCCCCCCCCCCCCCCCCACCATTGATGGAATTCAGGTGTCTCCAGTGAAGGGTCCCAGTAATACAAAGACATTGGAGACAATCATATTCTTCCACATTTTTGGTAACATTTTGGTGAAGACCCTTTTCTGTTCCCCCCTTGACTATCCCCTGTGCATAAAGACATGGATGACCAGTTTGGGGTGGAGGAACTGGAGTGTCCTGCACAGAGTCCTGACCTCAACCCTACCGAAAACATTTGGGATGAACTGGAATGGACCAGGTCTTTTCGACCAATATCTCCATAAAGACATAGTTTGACCAGTTTGGTGTGGAGGAATGGGAGTGTCCTGCACAGAGCCCTGACCTCAACCCTACCGAACACATTTGGGATGAATTGGAATGGGCCAGGTCTTCTCGACCAATATCTCCATAAAGACATAGTTTGACCAGTTTGGTGTGGAGGAACTGGAGTGTCCTGCACAGAGCCCTGACCTCAACCCTACCGAACACATTTGGGATGAACTGGAATGGGCCAGGTCTTCTCGACCAATATCTCCATAAAGACATATTTTGACCAGTTTGGTGTGGAGGAACTGGAGTGTCCTGCACAGAGCCCTGACCTCAACTCTGCTGAACACATTTGGGATGAATTGGAATGCCTATGGTGAGCCAGGTTTTTTTTATTTTTCTGGCAGCTAATGTGAGGCCCAACGTGTGAGCCAGGTCTTCTCATCCAATAAATAAATATCAAAAGTTCCAATGTGTAAATAATGTAAACCGGGTAAAATGACTCTTGCGCTCTGGTGACTCTGGACCTGGTATCCGTGCAATAATGGTAAAGATAATACGCACTCACCGGACGCGCATGTTAATTGTGCCTTATGAAAATAATCCAGATGTCATCAGATATGGAGAAGGTCAGAAGATGGGTGGTCCTCCCTCTAAGGGATAGCGGATCATCAAACTAGGTAGTGTCAAGCTGGTGTGGGTGGTCCTCGTCCTCTAGGGGTCCCCCTTTTTCAAGGCTTGTTGTATCCCTCTAGGTGTGCAGACCTCCACTATGCAGCAATGATCCGTCCTGGTGGTGGATGTCAGCCACATCACGGCACCCCGAGATTCTATGGTCCTAACTCTGAATTTTTAGAGGACCACCCACACCAGCTTCACACTACCTAGTTTTATGATCCACCATCCCTTAGATGGAGGACCACCCATCTGCTGAATTCCAGAGGATGGTGAAAGCTCTGGAGAAGTCCTGGAGACGAGCATGGGAGGAGGAGACAAGGGAGCTAGAGAGCAGGAGGTCGTGTGAGGAGCGGAGAGCACGGTTTGGGTGATATTTGGAGACAAGATTGGTGATGTAATTTGAGGCGGAGTTATAAATGGCTTTATATGTTATTGTTAGTGTTTTGAATTTTATTCGTTGGGCAATGGGAAGCCAGTGGAGGGATTGGCAGAGAGGGGTGGAGGCCAGTGGAGGGATTGGCAGAGAGGGATGGAGGACACTGAGTGGAGGCCAATGGAGGGATTGGCAGAGAGGGGTGGAGGATACTGAATGGAGGCCAGTGGAGGGATTGGCAGAGAGGGGTGGAGAACACTGAATGGAGGCCAGTGGAGGGATTGGCAGAGAGGGATGGAGGACACTGAGTGGAGGCCAATGGAGGGATTGGTAGAGAGGGGTGGAGGACACTGAGTGGAGGCCAATGGAGGGATTGGTAGAGAGGGGTGGAGGACACTGAATGGAGACCAGTGGAGGTATTGGCAGAGAGGGGTGGAGAACACTGAATGGAGGCCAGTGGAGGGATGGGCAGAGGGGTGGAGGACACTGAATGGAGGCCAGTGGAGGGATTGGCAGAGAGGGGTGGAGGACACTGAATGGAGACCAGTGGAGGGATTGACAGAGAGGGGTGGAGAACACTGAATGGAGACCAGTGGAGGGATTGGCAGAGAGGGGTGGAGGACACTGAATGGAGGCCAAAGGAGGGATTGGCAGAGAGGGATGGAGGACACTGAATGGAGGCCAGTGGAGGGATTGGCAGAGAGGGATGGAGGCTGGTGGAGGGCTTGGTAGAGAGGGATGGAGGACACTGAATGGAGGCCAATGGAGGGATTGGCAGAGAGGGATGGAGGACACTGAATGGAGGCCAATGGAGGGATTGGCAGAGAGGGATGGAGGACACTGAATGAAGGCCAATGGAGGGATTGGCAGAGAGGGGTGGAGGACACTGAATGGAGGCCAATGGAGGGATTGGCAGAGAGGGATGGAGGACACTGAATGGAGGCCAATGGAGGGATTGGCAGAGAGGGGTGGAGGACACTGAATGGAGGCCAATGGAGGGATTGGCAGAGAGGGATGGAGGACACTGAATGGAGGCCAATGGAGGGATTGGCAGAGAGGGGTGGAGGTCAGTGGAGGGATTGGCAGAGAGGGGTGGAGGACACTGGAGACCAGTGGAGGGATTGAGAGGGGTGGAGGACACTGAATGGAGGCTGGTGGAGGGCTTGGTAGAGAGGGATGGAGGATACTAAGTGGAGGCCAGTAATCAAATGCATTCAAATGTCCACAGTTTCCATGTAACTTCAATAAATGATTTGTAAATAGCAGGAATTAAAAATAATTGTTTTTTTTTCCTTTCTCCAGAAAAAAAAAATGACAGCAAAAGAGAGCAATATTCAGAAACTCCAAAGCCCAGCAATTGGATGAACACACTCAGCAGTGCCATGGAGGATGACTCACAGACTATCACTGAAAAGTTTCACTTTCCATAAAGTGCTTGGAAAGGGGGCCTTTGGGAAGGTGGTGTTGGCCTCCCATGTCACCTCTCAACAGAAGATGGCCGTGAAGATCATTGAAAAGAAGATGCTCCTTGAATGTGGTCCCACTACTTGTACTACAGAACGTCCTGTACTGATAAAGCACAGGAACACTCGGTGTATTACTCATCTATTTGGATCGTTCCAGACAGAGGTAAGTCTTTTCACCTTTCAGCTGTTTCATCCTCTTCCTGTACTGCGCTCCCCTACTGACACAGACCCCCTAAAAAGTATGTTCTGGAAATTACAAGTTCTTCGGAGGTAAAAACTTGCACAAGGATAAGCCTCCCCCCTTCCCCCGATGATGGTCTTTGGGCCTATCAATTGGTCCTTCAGCCAATGAGTTCTGAAATGTAAATGGCGGAGGGGAGCTCCACTAGTGTCCCACACCAGGGCATCGGGTGAAGTCGGGGAAGCAGTATAGGTAAAAGCAGAACTCTAGAGCGCCTCCTACAGGGCTGGAGGTTGGTGAAGTAAACTGTGCAGAGTAGAGGTTGTCTTTAATCGCCTCCCGCCCTTGGGGAGGGGGGGTAATGGGAGTAAAGATAGAAAGGGATATAACTGATGGTTATGTATGTTATATGAGAGTAATGAAGAAATAGGTATTTTATATGGAAAATGAATAAATACTTAAATAAAAAAAAAAAATCGCTTCCTGCCCGCCATATAAGCTAATGACGGGGGCAAGGCGGTTCTCTCGTTCTGGGACGACGTCATATGACCTCCTCCCATTCTAACCGCGCATGCGTGGCTCTGGGAGTGCGTGGCGATCGGTGGTGCGCTGTGTCCCTCGAACACAGCGGATCACCGATCAACGGAAAGAGCCAAAGAGTTCGGTTCGGTCATGTGATCAACTGTGTCCAATCACAGCTGATCACATGTAAATAGGGAAATGCCGGTTATCGAGATTTCTCTCCTCATGTGCTGACAGCCCAAGAGGAGAGCTGGTAATCGGCATTCCTCGGAGAGGACATGTACACTGATCATCAGAGCATTGATGATCAGTGTGCCATGATGATCAGTGTGGCCCCAGCAGTGTTACCTGTCAGTGCCCATCAATGCCAGCTGTCAGTGCCAAGTGCCTATCAGTGCCACATCAATGCAACATATCAGTGCCCATCTGAGCTGCCTTTCAGTGCCAGTCAGTGCCAGTCAGTGCTGCCTATCAGTGCCACCCCACAGTGCCAGTCAGTGCCACCTATCAGTGCCAAATATGAGTGCTGCTTTTCAGTGCCCATCAGTGATGCCCTTCAATGCCCATCAGTGCCACCTACGAGTGCCTCCTCATCAGTGCCACCTATCAGTACCTCCTCATCAGTGCCCATCACTGCAGCCTCATTAGCGCACATCAGTGAAGGAGAAAAATCACTTATTTACAAAATTTTAAAACAAAAACTAAAACTTTTTTTCAAAATTTTCAGTGGTTTTTGGTTTGTTTAGGAAAAAATAAAAATCCCCGAGGTGATTAAATAGCACCAAAATAAAGCTCTATCTGTCTGAAAAAAATGATAAAAATTTCATTCGGGTACAATGTTGCATGACTGCGCAATTGTCATTCAAAGGGCAACAGCGCAGAAGGCAGGAAGGGGGTAGAAGTGTCCTGTAGGCGGGAAGGGGGTAGAAGTGTCCTGTAGGCGGGAAGGGGGTAGAAGTGCCCGGGGGGCAGGAAGGGGGTAGAAGTGCCCGGTAGGCAGGAAGGGGGTAGAAGTGTCCTGTAGGCAGTAGGAAGGGGGTAGAAGTGCCCTGTAGGCGGGAAGGGGGTGGAAGCGCCCTGTAGGCGGGAAGGGGGCGGAAGCGCCCTGTAGGCGGGAAGGGGGCGGAAGCGCCCTGTAGGCGGGAAGGGGGCGGAAGCGCCCTGTAGGCGGGAAGGGGGCGGAAGCGTCCTGTAGGCGGGAAGGGGGCGGAAGCGCCCTGTAGGCGGGAAGGGGGCGGAAGCGCCCTGTAGGCGGGAAGGGGGCGGAAGCGCCCTGTAGGCGGGAAGGGGGGGCGGAAGCGCCCTGTAGGCGGGAAGGGGGCGGAAGCGCCCGGTAGGCAGGAAGGGGGTAGAAGTGCCCTGTAGGCGAGGGGTTAAAGCGGTAATAATGGCTTCCATCTTCACCCGTCTTCCTTCCTGGTCTGTGAGCTCCGGCCTTCTGACAGGCGGGGTCGCGATGACGTCACTCCCGCACATGCACGCGGGAGTCCCAGGCCACAGCACACAGCTCTGTAGAACGGCACGGGTATTTGCCGGATTAAATGAAGAGAGAATATCTCGTAAGCAGCGCACGTCTAGGAGACATTCATTGTACCTACAGGCAATCTTTATTATAAGCTCAGCTGTAGGTAAAATTTAAAAAAACCGAGTTTACAACATCTAATAAGAGAACATGACACAAATAATCCCATCAGCACATAGTGACGGGTTGTAGAAGCAAAATCAAGGAAGCTGAAATATGTCACTGTCAGAATCCAATATTACAATGGGGAGTTCTGCTGGTCACATAGTATTGTTCTCCAGTGTTTCTTATCATATATCTTTCTTTTTTACAGCTCTTATGTCGAGACCACACATACGCGGGCAAAGCTGGTACGGGACATCAGACAGCGCCCATTCTTCAAAACGATTGACTGGACTGCGGTGGAACAAGGAAAGTCACCCCCAGCATTTGCTCCAAAACCAGTAAGTATTTGTATAATGGAGGGGTCCATGTATGTTAGGGGGGAGGGGGCGATTTTTAGCAATATTTATTTAAGGTATTTTTGTACAGAATTCTCACATTTGGTCACATGGTCTGGGGACTCGTCTGAATGAATTCTGTTTATTATTGGTGTCAAGCGCTGTGAAGGTGTCAGGTGCCAATAACACACTTCCTGTCCTGGGATGACAACGCTGACTGTATCTATAGAGAAGAAGTGTTGTCATCAGGGTCGGACTGACCATTCGGGTACTCGGGCACTGCTCGAGGGCCCAGGGTCAGTAGGGGGCCCCCCATGAGATGTCCCTGGTACCTTTCATAGGATTTTTTTGGGTGTGGTTTGAGTGTGGGCGAGGACACAGGGACCCCATGATCCCCTATTGCCCGTGGGCCCCATGAGTTGTCAGTCCACCCCTGGTTGTCATCCTAGCCTGATTAGAACTACAAACACCTTTACCTCTCCTTATCTCCATTACACAGAGGGGTTGCTTTGTAGTTCACAGACAAGCTGACAAAGCTGATAACAAGGAGATCTCAGTTCAGGGCATAGGAACTTACAAGGTCTCTGGATTTCTGACAGGACTAACAGGTATTTTTCTGTACCTGAAGATAATGTATTTATCTTGACAGAAACAAAGAAAATGAATGCAGCCTCCACATCTAAGAATTACCTGGAATAAATGACATTTTTATTCTTGGCATTAGATATACATCAAGGGGGTGTTAATGCAGTGTAATGCTTCTTGTGATCACTAGAGGGAGCTGGGGATACATAATCCTTCCTGGGATACGATATTATTATTATTATTATTATTATACAGGATTTATATTATTATTATTATTATACAGGATTTATATTATTATTATTTTACAGGATTTATATTATTATTATTATAATACAGGATTTATATTATTATTATTATTACTATACAGGATTTATATTATTATTATTATTATTAATATTATACAGGATTTATATTTTTTTTATTATTGTTATTATAAAACAGGATTTATATTATTATTATTATACAGGATTTATATTATTATACAGGATTTATATTATTATTATTATACAGGATTTTATATTATTATTATTATTATACAGGATTTATATTATTATTATACAGGATTTATGTTATTATTATTATTATACAGGATTTATATTTATTATTATACAGGATTTATATTATTATTATTATTATACAGGATTTATATTATTATTATTATTATACAGGATTTATATTATTATTATACAGGATTTATATATTATTATACAGTATTTATATTATTATTATAATACAGGATTTATATTATTATTATACAGGATTTATATTATTATTATTATTATTATTATTATTATACAGGATTTATATATTATTATTATACAGGATTTATATTATTATTATTATTATTATTATTATTATTATACAGGATTTATATATTATTATTATACAGGATTTATATTATTATTATTATTATACAGGATTTATATTATTATTATACAGGATTTATATATTATTATTATACAGGATTTATATTATTATTATATTATTATACAGGATTTATATTATTATTATTATTATTATTATACAGGATTTATATTATTATTATTATACAGGATTTATGGCGCCAACAGTTTGCTCAGCGCTTTACAATATAACGGGAGACAATACAGCAACAATACAGTACAATACAAGAGGGATAGGAGAGCCCTGATCCTGGGAGCTTACAATCTAGGAGGGATACGTTGCTGCACATGGAGGGTTGGGGGTCACCAAGCTTTGTCACCATTTTCTGTATAGTCAGAAATATTGATGAATGTCCTTTTTTCTCTTTCGAGACTGAATGAACTGGAAGAATTTACTATGAAGATGGAGGAATTTATGGCCAATAAAGACAGAGATTCGGAAAAAAGGGCAAGCATGTATTCAAAGACTATTCCTACATCAGCGAAACTCTGAAACAGGAGCTAAGGACATCTCTCCACCAACAAAATCAGGGCCATGAATTTGCATGGAAAGTCAAAATATATATTAACACGTTAAGTCTTAACAAAAAAAAAATCTTCACCAGCAAGGTAATGGTGAATGTGCTAGTATGCATTGCACATTAACCCCTTCAAGCCAGAGCCTCACGGCCCTTTAGGGGTTTTCTGACTCCGGGAGGCGGGTGGGGTTTAGGGTCATGTGACTGCCATGATTGGCTGTCATGGCAGTCACATGATCGGAAAGGTCCCAATCGCAAGGAGAGATTGGGACCTTTCCGTGGTACTCTGACTCATGCGCTGGGAGCACGCAGGGCGCACGCTCTCAGCACGTTTGTTTGCAAATGGTACGCAAATATGCAACCGACGTCGAGGCCCAGCTTAGCCTGATCACTCACGGATGAACTGATCGCCTTAGGGGGTGAGGAAGGAATTTTTTTCCCCTTTTGGAGACCATCTTACCGGGGAGGGAGGGGGTTTGCCTTCCTCTGAATCATCAGAAAGTTTAGGGGTCTGATAAGGCAGCACCTCTGAGGAGTCAGAGGATAACACTGACTTATCTCCAATAGAAAGAGGAGTGCATTATGCACAGGGCGCAGGGTTCAGGAGTGCGTTATGCGCAGGGTTCAGGAGTGCACTATGCACAGGGCGCAGGGTTCAGGAGTGCACTATGCACAGGGCGCAGGGTTCAGGAGTGCACTATGCACAGGGCGCAGGGTTCAGGAGTGCACTATGCACAGGGCGCAGGGTTCAGGAGTGCACTATGCACAGGGCGCAGGGTTCAGGAGTGCACTATGCACAGGGCGCAGGGTTCAGCCCCGTGTCTGTTCTGACCTCACCTGCGCCCCCCATGGAGTTCCACCATATTTAGATAGATAGATAGATAGCTACAGATAGATAGATAATAGATAGATAGATAGATAGATATAATAGATAGATAGATAGATAATAGATAGATAGATAATAGATAGATAGATACATACAGTGAGGAACAGAAGTATTTGAACTCCCTGCGATTTTGCAAGTTCTCCCACTTAGAAATCATGGAGGGGTCTGACATTCACATTGTAGGGGCATTCCCACTCTGAGAGACAGAATTTTAAAAAAAAAATTCAGGAGATCACATTGTATGATTTGTAAAGAATGTATTTGTCTCGCACGGCTGAACAGAAGTATTTGAACACCTGAGAAACAGCAAGAATTCTGGCTCTCAAAGACCTGTTACTGCACCTTCAAAAAGTCCACCTCTACTCCACTCATTCATCTAACTTAGTAGCACCTGTTTGAGCTCTTTAAAGACACCTGTCCACCCCACAGTCAGTCAGACGCCAACTACTACCATGGGCAAGACCAAAGAGCTGTCAAAAGACACCAGAGACAAAGTTGTGGACCTCCGCAAGGCTGGAAAGGGCTACGGGGCAATTGCCAAGCAGCTTGGTGAAAATAGATCAACTGTTGGAGCAATTGTTAGAAAACGGAAGAGGCTAAAGAGGACTGTCAGTCTCCCTCGGACTGGGGCTCCATGCAAGATGTCACCTCGTGGGGTATCA